CTGGGAGCCAAGGCACGCACCCTGTGTCAGACCTGAGCCAGCCTGTCCCTGGCTGCAGCTTCCTCGAAGTCTGAGGTCGTTTGGGGCAGGAGCTCAGGTTACAGTAGCCTGAAATCCCTGCAGCTTGACAATTGCAAATGGTCTCCCATCACTTGCTATGTTTGTAAAGCTTGATACAAACAGGCACCCTGGAAAGAAAAGTGACCTAAAGAAAGACTTACCTTCAGGGAGAAATTGATTGAAGTGCCACTTGGAAGAACAACAAATATTATTAAGATTTTTACATTACTTATTCGTTGAAGAAGAAAACTTAGTCTCTCAAAAATCAAATGGACAACATGTATTGTTAACTGTAGAGATGCTTTCAGGTTTGGAGCCACGCATCCAGAGCAGTGTACAGTAAAGACCATTATCAGAATACTCTGAGCATAATAAGGACACACTATAAATAACGTAGAAGGTTGTGGTGTCAAAGAAGGATGTGTTTGAGGTCAAACTGTTGTCCATTCCCCTTTCCCAAGCCTCCTGTTAGCACTTCTGAACACAGGACATCACTTGCAATGGCTTGGGCACAACCCTCCAGGAGTTCCTCTTCCTCCATGGCTCAGTTTTGCTTTGTTTCCCCCCTACCCGCTCACTGTGTTATTTACAGAATTAAGGCTTAACCCTGGGGTGGCTTCAGGCCATAAAAACACTGTTCAGGACCTTGTGCACCTGTGTCCCTCACCAGGTCAAACTTTACAGTGAGAGAATCAATCAGTTTCATGGAGGCAACCAAATTGTTTTCAGCTAGGTGAGTAAAATCTTGGAGGCCTGTTGCTCTACAATGTAATTTCTTTGGTGTGAAATGCACTGAGTTTTCTGAGGCATGTAATCTTCATTCAATTTCTTATGAAAAACTTGAGATAGTTGAAAAATTTTTAACCTTGAAAAGTAAGTGCCATGTATGCATCTGCCACAGTAACTACTACAATCTGCACCATGAGCAGAAATGTCAACAATACAGCGGAAATAAGTAGTCATTCTCCTATTTACTTGAGGTGAGAATTGTTGCACCAATCACTCAAACCTTTTGCTCCACTTAAATGATTTAGGAACACTGGGCATATCTCTGAGTTTCTCAGTGAGTTTTGCATTAATGTGTTTTGCTTACACATCAGTATTTGATTACTTGATTACCCCTCTCTTCCCAGGAGGTATCTCCTCCAAGGAACGATGCCTATTAATTTACTTATTTCAAGGTGTCAGGAAACCTGATAGTTTGTAGGTCTATCAGGTAGTAGTTAGTTTTGTTAAAATGTTGCTTACTGCTTGACCTACTGTGGATAAAAAAAAAAAAAAAAATTATTTTGAGGTAATGGAAACTGCAACAGAAAGAAAAATGAAGAAAAAGAGTTTACGATCAACCAAAGATAAATCCAGAAGAAGGAAGAAGTACAGGCTCTTCTGTGTGGGTTAGTTTTCACTTCAGTTTCTCTTTGCTCTTGAACAGAACATTTTGATATCCCTCTTACTGTTTATTTGGGAGTAGCGTGCTTTAGCATTGAACATGTACCAGAAGAGTGCGCAGTGCCTCCACAGACCATAACAAGAAGGATTGGATGTTTAGTTTGTTTTGGCTGTAGAGCTATCGGCTTTTGTTAGCTATGCAGCTGTGAAGTGCTGTATGCCTTCACTGCCTTTAGCAGGTCCTGAAAACATGTGGGTTCTTTACTGGCTTTCTTAAACTTGCTTTCTGTTTGCCTTCTCAGCTCTAAGATCACAGGCTAATATTCATTGGTGTTCCTCTGAGTTAAGGGATTATCTGTATATGCATCTGATTCAGATGATTTAAATGTGTTGGCTTCTGTGTGGACCTGTTTTAAGTGTATCTTAGAATTTGGTTTAAGTTAAACTTCTTCCTAATTGTTTAAGCTAAACTGAAAGAAGGCTACATAAAACTGCTTGGGGAAAAAAAAATAAAAGGCATTAAATCTGTTAGTCCAGAGGACCCTGGGCAGTATGGGCCTTTCCTGGTTGCCCCCTTAGGGCTTTCCAGAGGCCTGGTTTGCATTAAGGGGTGTTGTATGATATTGAACAAAAGGTGTAGCTAACCTAATATTCCTGCCTCTGGGATGATGAATCAAGTAATGATTTAGGGGCAATGCATGCCAAAAAAAAAAAAAAAAGAGTAAGAAGGGGTAAGCTTAAATGATACCTCTATTTGCAGCTAGGGATTTTCTGACTCCAAAGAGGCTGTTCAGACATACGTAAAGATTGAATGGACTAGTAATTAGTAATCCTCACAGCATTTTTCTTCCACAAACCCGTCTAGTTTCCTCTGGAGCCGGTATAAACATTTAGCTTCTCGTGGCAGCTAATTCCACTGAATGGCACTCCTTTGGTGGAAAAAAATCTTTGCTTAGCTTGTTCTTGTTTCCTGCTAGCTGCAACTATTTTCCACCTTTTCCCTGCTCTTCCTTACTGTCATAATCTCTGCTGTATCCCTTAGGTCAACTTGTTTCAGAGTGAGGAGTCCTAACTTACTTAGTTGTCTATTGCTAGACTTTTGCTAAGTTTCTTTTCCACTGAATCTTCAACTTGAAGATCTGCATTTGGAGGGGAGAGCAGACAATGACTTCAGCTTGTGTTAGAAGTGAACATAAACTTATCAAAGCTGTTTGATGGACACTGACAAGCACTGTAGCCACTGGCTCTCTTTTGTTGGTCACATACATTACTTAAGTAATTGTGATTGTAATATATGGAGAGATAAGCAGAGGTTGTGTTCAAACAGCAGTAAGTTTATTTAGTGGTGTGTTGTTTTTTTTTTTTTTCCAAGTAGCACCCGTAAAACATAAGACTCTGATGTCAGTTACACATATCCATGGCTGTATTCATGTGAAGTGGTAATGTTTTTTGTGCTACTTGCATTTTAACTGAGAGCTGCTTAGTTTCAATGGAAAACCAGCCCATTTAGAGCGAGCACACCTGCACAGGACGTGCGTGCACTGAATGGTATGAGGAGAGCGCTAAAATGAAAGGCCCAAGAATAATTCAGATGGCTTGCTATTGCAGGCCCGAAGGTGTGCCTTTCTTGGCACACTAAGCTTTAGCAGATACGCTGTGAGAAATAAAACACTGTTGTACAAGTGCGAGGCTGTTGCTACAGAAGCCTGGAATGTTAATGCAGAAGAGTTTGTGTGCTGTTGTCTGTCTCAGATTGTCCCTGCTATGTCTCACAAAGCAAGTGATTCATTGGTTTTTTTGCTCAGGGTGGGGCAGTAATTTCCTGGATTGCTAAAAATAGAGCCAAACCATGACTGAAATATTAGTATTTAACAAAAAAAAAAAAAGGGGTGGGGCAAAAAGCTCATGTCACATGTAAGTAACTGAAATTTTATTCAGAATGGATTTATACTATGGGTATGAATAATAAATGCATGTCTTTAAATAATGAACAACTTATGCCACAATCTATTTTTACTTAACTGGACCTCTATTTATTCACAATATATGTTCCCGTGCACAATAAGATACACGAGCTTTCTTTTCCTATTGCTATTTATTCTCTTGGCATGCGTTTTTCCTTCTTGATTCATCAACACATACCCCTCTGTGGAATGCCAAACTGTCTTATTTAAGAATATCAAAATGAAACATGCTAACCTGCTGGGTCTTGTGATATTAAAGTATTGGACTTGCACCAAAAAAAAAAAAAAAAATCAGTTGCTTATCTTTTGATATAACTATCAGGTGCTGACTGGCATTATGTTGGGCCTTGTTGCTAATCTGCTCTCTTTTTAATAACCTAGAAAATTACTGTTGTACCATGTTTCTGGTAAGATGGTAGTGCTGGATGGTAATAAGTTTTTCATACTATGCAAATGTAATTTGTAAAATATTTGGACTTTCTTCAGGAATTTTGATCATAATCCAAGTAAGCACAGGAGACCTATGAATTTCAGAAACACCTATCCTGCAGTTCCTTGGCCTAGCAATGGTCTGCACAGGTGACTGATGCCTGCTGCAGAGCTTGCAGTGACTGCTGCAGAACAGTCGTTTGTGGGGTTTTGTTTTGTTGGTTTGTTTGTTTTTTTGTTTTGTGGTTTGTTTTTTTTTTGTTTTTTTTTTTTTTTCCCACAAGAGGTCTTATTTATGATCAGGACAGCACTAAGAAAGCTTTCTGAGGGTTATTGCTTCTCCTGACCTGAGACACATTGTCTTCTGTTGTGGGGTGTGTGGGGGTCTTCTGGTGGAGGTGACTGGAAGGTAAAAATGGAGCTTAGGCAAGGGGAGACTGTGACACTGGGCTGAAAGAGGTAGCGAACGGGACAGCCATGCTGCTGGACGTTGCCACGTGTCTGTGGGTTTTGGGGTAGAACAGGAGATGTGAAGCGTACCACGGTCGGAGCTTCCAAGAGTTGTGGGAAAGGGGCGAGGGCAGGCGAGCGCCCCTGGGGCCCGAGGCCGGGCTGCCTCTCACCACCCCAGCGCTCCCAAGAAGGGTTGCTCCCTCTGGGGCAGGGCCGGTGGGGCTGTTGAGGAGCGTGGATTCCCCCCCGTCAGTACCGCCGGCAGCCGCGCTTCAGCCGCCCATCCCCACGTGGAGCACAAAACGTCTTATTTACTTAAACCCTCCCATGGAAAAACGCTCCTTGGGTGTAGCCGGCACCTGCGGAGCTGCCCCGACCCCGCTCCCCCTCCTCAGAAGCACAGCCGGGGGCGGCCGCGGCCCCTCAGCGAGCGCCGCCCTCCCGCCCCGCGGCCGCCTGGCGCGGCCGTTACCGCCGTCCCCCACCCCCCCGCAGGACCCCTCTTCGCCGCCGGGGCTGCCCTTCCGAGCGCCTGACCGGGCTGCGGCGTCCCTGTCCAGCTCCTCGCCCGGGGCCGCGGCGCCTCCCGTCGCCCCCAGGCTCTGGGCTCCGTGCTCCGTGCTCCGGCGGCTCCCGTGGGCTGGGCGGCGGTGCGGCGCGGTGGGCGGGGGGAGGCGGCGGGCGGGGCGGCCCCGACTCGTTGGGGTCCTGCGCGGCGGCGGCGGGCGGGCGGATCGGTGTCTCCTTCACTTCGCCCTCCAGTGCCAGCGGCTGCAGCAGCGCGGCCTCCTCACGGCGAGACCCGCCCGCGCCCCCGGCCCCGCTCCGCCCGGCCCCGCCGCTCTCCCGCGCTAGCCAGGTGCCGGCCCGGGCCGCCGCCGGCCCCGCGGGAGCGGGGGGAAGCGGGCGGGGCTCGCCCGTGGGCGAGCGGGGCCGGGGGCCGCGTGGGGCCGGGGGCGCCTTGCCCAGCGCCTGGGCTCGGGTGGGGTGTGTGGGGGTGCAGGGGGGTGTCTCTCCGCACGCCGTACTCCCCCCCGCCACCCGCCGCGGGCTGCGCAGGGGCCGCGCCCTCCTCGGCGTGCGGGCCGGGCGCGGGCCGCGGTTACATAAGGGGGCGGTGGGGTGGCGCGGCGGGAGGGAGGGGGTCAGGCCGGGATGCCCAAGATGGCCGCGCGGAGGAGTTCACCTTGCGGCGGCGGCGGGGCCGGGCGCGGGCAGGGACCTGCCGCCGCCCCCCGGCCCTGGCGGGCTGCGCCGCCGCCCCGCGCCTCCCGGCCTGCCCCTCCACAGCCCCATTTTCCTTTTCGGTGTTCTCTTTGGGAAGGCTCTGCTTTACCACCGCTTTCGGTTTCTGAACATGCAGTTCATTTTCAGATGTTTAATTTTCTTTCCCTTCTCCGTAGAGTCTCTAAATTGGCCTAGCTATGGCTACTAGACTAGCGTGTCCACCTCCGAGAAGTAAGTAGGGAGAGAGTCGAAGCGAGGGTAATGAGGTGCTTGGGCTTTTTAAGCTTTAGTAGCAGCGTGAGTCTGAAGGTCAGTGTGTGTCCGATGTATTCGAAGAAAATATTTTTTGTATAATACAGATTTCTCTTCGTATTTACTGGAATACAGTTTTAGTGTAGTTACTGCTATTTTCTTAAAATTGCATGAGCACTTAGGTGTTTTTATTATAGCCTGATCTAGCTTGTAGTCCGATCTTCAATATCCCGAAATCTTAACATTGTTAGAAATCTTTATAGAAGTCTTTGGCATTCCTGTAATTGCAGGGTGTGAGAGAGGAGAGAGTTTTGAAATACTTCTTCGAAGGAAAACTGTGATGTAATAATTCTGATAACATTTTTCTGTTATTGGGATGATTTTTTTTTTTCTTCTTTTTACAAAACAAGAAAGCATGTTCATTGCTCTTGAGTAACAGGTTAATTAACTTTTTTTTTTAGGATGGCATGAAACAAAGATCAGGGTGGAACAAGCTCCCGCTTTATTCAAGTAGATTCTGTGTTTTTGAAATGAGGAATAAAATTATTTGACAGTTGCTTTCCCAGCAAACCTCATGTTGTTAAATGGTAGTTATATTTTAGTTACATCTAATTAGTAGTTTACAAGTGAAAGACACATCAAAACAGGGTTGAAGAAGATTATTTATGATTAAAAGAATTTGCAGACTTAGCTAACTTGCCAACAGTGGAGGACACAGGAATGATTTTTTTTTTTAAACCCTGTTTTCATTTAATGAGCATTCTGATGATGGCACTGATTTATCAGGTATTTAATATACCCAAAATTAACTCTTGGTTTCCCCTTTCATCCTCATCCATCCCTGTTAGTATAGCAGTAGAACAGCAGTGTGACAGTGGTACTCTGTTTTAACTTTTTATCACCAAATTTGCATCTGTAGGTGGGAATGTCTGACAAATACTGTTTGGTTTCCTTGCAATGGAAAAGATGCTTAACCAGACTGGATAAAATAGCAGCATCCTTTTCAGTGTAGTAATCCTTTGAATTTAGACACAGATACCAGTTTGTTAATTTCTCTGGACATTACTGCTTAGCATAAATCTCTTGTTTGTAATGATTGTCTAGTCAGATTGGAAACATTGAAAACAAAAGTGAAAAGCTTGGGTTTTTTATACTGTAACAGAATATCTGTGCTAAAGTCTAGTATAAAACTGTTAAACTAGAAATAATTATTCTGAGTATGCTAGTTAGAAGTGAGATATATTCATTAAAGGAAAAATAAAGAACTAAACCTTGTCTAAATTATTTTAAACTGCTAATGAATTATCGTACAGTTGCTGTACAGCAGAAATTTAGAGGGAACTTAGAGCAGTGTTCCTACACTGTCTTGTAATTTAGTCTACCACCTGCTTCTTTTTATTGAATAAATAATACGAAACATTTAATGTCTTGTCACCAGGATTAGTACTGTTCTGCTATAGATTTTTTTTTTTTTCTCAAGATTTATTTATTATGGACTTGAACTTGGGCTAAGCCTTTTTAAGCTTCAAACGCTCTAAGTTATTTTCATGTCTTTTTTTTTAAAAGAGTAAGACTGTGGAAAAACAAAACTTTTGTGTTCTTGAGCAAGCAATGGATGCCTTGTTATAGTGATCTGGTTGTAGGGTTTAGAAGTCATTACTAAAGAAGGGGGTTTAAAATTTTTTTTAGTTAAACTGCGAGTATAAATGTTTTTGCACAGAGAATGTTGAAGTTATCCTCTTATGACTTAAAGAGGTGGATTAAGGTACTCTGGAAAACTGCATTAGAAACTGTAGAAAGATAAGCAGTTTTCTGCCTTACTATTGCTTGCTAAAATATACATATATATATTTTAATAGCAGTCAATACAATTAGGCTGTGTATGGCAGGTGTAATTTTTTGTGGATGTTATTCTGAAACAAGTCTGTTTAGTGGAATGGTGCCATAAAGGATTTTTTTTTCTGAATCGGCTGTTCCAGGAAAGTTTTCCCTTGTATGTATGTACATAGGGCCATGAAAATATGGAAAAAAAAAAACTTTTTCGAGAGGGGGAAAAAAAAAGCTTGCCTTGATACTGTATTATTGAGTACACTGATGATCCTGCAGAGATCTGTAGAAGATAAGCAGTTCTATAGCCAGGTGTTGAAAATTAAAATATTGATTAAAAGTGGAAGTAATCTTTTCTGCTTTCAGTTCTGCTTTTCAGAAAGTTAACATGTGAGAGTACTGTTCTTTTTATTTTTGAAGTTCTGAAGATATTTTTCCATTTACTTAAACAAAAAAAAAAAAAAACCCACAGCAAACCCTACACAAGGGCAAGATAAACAGTCAATTATGTTAATCTGACTTTCTCTCCAAAACAAATGTGACCAATCACTTTGTAAAGATAACATTTTTGTTTGCTTGTGTTGCTTATCTAGTTAGTTTCATTCTTTCCCTCTGCCCCCCCCTTCCCCCCCCCCCCCCCCCTTCCACAGCATGGGGGGAGTTATTAACTCTTGGAACTACGCTTTGTCTTCTGTATTTTAAAATGTTAAACCTCTGCAACAGTGGCCTTTTGCTATTGAAATCATGGGAAAACAGTCACCGAAGGAAGGTGCAGATAGCGTAGCTTCACGGGGAGAACCACACAGGCCTGTGTGAGACCTTAGGCTGGTATCTGTCCATTGGGCCGGGGAGGCTGGGTCACAGCTAGTCTTGAATGACAGGTTCTTTTAGCAGTGAGATTGCCAGAGGCTCCCCCAAGAAAGGGGCTTTTAAAGAAAGCTTTTCTCACTGACCCAGCACTCTTACCACCTGTTTGTTTTAAACTAGCAAGACAATCCCTCAGACTTAAACTCTTGTATGTTATGGGGCAGGGGGGGAACTTCATCAGATTGCTAGTTAATAATATTAGACATTCCTTCTTAAATTGCATGCCTATTTAAAATGCAGGGAAAATGATGCTGCAAAACAGATATTCACTCTTCTTACATTTTGAAAATAAAACCTTGTAGGTCTTTTCAGATAATTTTCATAAGCATCTGTCAAATTTGACTTTGTGGAACTTCAGGGAATAACTATCTGCATTATAGCTTTTCAGACTTATATTTCCTGGTTTTTGGTGGTAACTGCCAACTCTGGAAATGTGAGCTATTAGTTGATTTCTGGTAATTAAAGATATATGGAGAAATCTACTTGAAACACTAAGAACTGGGTGGTCTTGTAATACCTCTTCTTTACAAGCAGATTACTTTAGCCAAGAAAACATTCACTATTCACAGTGACCATCACTGAAAATCTACAGGTGTTTCAGAGAATACTGTAATTGTTTGAGCCATCTGTCTACTAACTGCCTTGATATATGAATCTAAAGAGTATCTGTAAAGAGTTGTGGTAGCATTTTTTGTGTGCGTGCGATGGTAAAAGGTTGACTATTAATTAGACCGTTACCTTTCAGCTCCAATGGCGATTCCTCCATCATACGTAGACCTTGGCAAATCTGCCAGAGATATCTTCAATAAAGGATATGGTAAGAATAGTACCTTTTATACAACATGGTGTTTAAGGTGCAGAAATGAATTGCCTTTTTAAGCCTGTATATAAAATTGAACGCTCAAATGCATGTGTTTCTGGGGAGGGGGAAGGTGTGTTGGTTTTGTATCATGACCGTTGACTAACAAATCATTGGAGGCTTCCATGCTGTTTTGATGTGAAATCTGTTAAATCTTGTTGCTTTGGCTGCATAAATGTCAGGGGTGTACAAGAATCTATGTGTCAAGTGTAACTTAACTTAGGCGTACGTGCTTACCAATCTGTCTGTGCCACAACATTTGCTGATATAGAAAGGGTTATATACCACTGTAACATTATAGCCTTTTTTGAAGTAGGAAGAGGAATAGCTATTGGGATAAAGAACCCTTCAGCATTTTAAAATGCTTTAATATCAGGCAGTTGCATAGTTGAATTCTGCTTGGTTATAGTGCTGTTTCTTTCTCGTCTTTGGGAATGTGTCTAGGCGCTTTTGCACCAAGACTGTCAATGATCTCTAAGGGTAACAAAGTGAATTGACACTCCTGTAAAACCTACCTATATTACAGTTCCAGTGGCTGTATATTTCCCATTGAGTTCGCTTGTACAGTTTTTTTTCCACTTTGACATATTTCTTCTTGGTGCTGAGACAAATTTTATGCATTGGAATAGCTCTTCAAATGGCATGGACTATAAAGCCAGTGCCGTTTCAGGAACAGAAAATAATGTATTTTGTCTGTCACTAAATTTACTCGTGGAAGTCATTGTCTGGTAGTTAAATGTACAGTGTACAACTGAGAGATTACTACCCACTTGCTATGTGGTAACGATAGAACAGAACTTCTGGCTTGCTCTATAGTAGCCCCCTCTACCCACTGTGTCATCTAAAATTTGAGTGTACTGAAGTCAGCCTATCATTCTTTTTATATATGTATATACATGTCATAATGCTGAGACTGCATGGAAAACTAGCTTCTTGGAAAATGTGCCTGATCTTAGTTAAAGCCTCTTGGTGTAACTTTGATGTCTGTTTGTTAAGGTTTTGGCTTGGTGAAACTGGATGTGAAAACAAAATCTGCAAGCGGAGTGGTGAGTTTAAATACCTTCTATTAATTATATTTTTTTTCTGGATATGTTCTGATATTTAATTAGGGTACCTTCCAGATGCTGGCAAGGAGTTTATAGGTTATATGAATGATAAACTTCTGGTGTAAAATAATTTCAGAAGTCCCTAAACACCTGACTTTATTCTGAAAGTAACAGGGGTATCGCACTGTTTAGTAATCTTTAAAATAAAAAGGTTTATTAATAGTCCCTTGTCTTATGGCTGAAGGCAGAAAAATAGCTGATAAGTTTTTGAAGTATTTTAGTATAGCAATCTTAGTACACAGAATTTATTTCTAAAGTACCTTGTGATACTACTTGTATTTGGAGGAAATTTCTGGCATCTTGATGCTTCTGTGAAGTAGTTGGCAGTGCATTAGCACATTGAACCTTTGGCCTCTCTTTAAAGGTATTAAAGTGTTGCAGTAATGTTGCATGCAAGATGTCTTAGTCATCCAAGCAGTGCCTCCTGTGACTGTTATCTATTTCTAGAACAGACTTTGCAAGATATAAAGGTAGATGTGTTTTTGTTTTTTGGGTTTTTTCCATAACTGGAAGCTTTAGGAGCGTAACTGATTGTTATAAACAAGGTGTGGGGGTTATGCTGTGCTTTTTCTAGAAGTCTGTATCCCAACTGAGGCACAGTTTGCAAGAACCCTGTTATAGATGTAGTTGTTCTTATTTTAGCCAGTTTCTTTTGACAACTACCATAATAGTCGTAAAACTCTGAAAAGTCCAAGCCCTCTTGTGAATTCCATATCAGTTATAAACCATCCTTCCCAGAAGGAGAAAGTGCTGGCATGTATATACTGCAGATGTTTTAAAGCAGAGATAAGGTAATAATTTGCTGTTCCTGAAGTTATTAGCACAGTGGTTGCAGTCAAATATGCCCTGTGCAGTAGTAATAGCACAAAATAAGAAGTTAAAGCTGGTATTTGGACTTGAAGTTGTGTAATCCCTGTCACTTGCCAAGAAATAAACCTTACTAGAATTATGTGACTGTGTGGAGGGTTTAGTGGTTCACTAATATAATAGATGTCTTGGCCATGGTTAAATTTGATCAGCCACCATTAAAGAACAGTCTTATGGACACTTGTGAGGTGCAGTAGGTTTCAGGCTATGAGAAGATGAATGCCTAAGGACTTCTGATTTCAAATCCATGTTTCCTTCTAGGGGAGGAGAGTATGAGGAGTCAATTTGAAACTAAGACTGTGCATGGAGGAAGTCTGAGATCAAGACTTCTATTTATATGTTTTTAAAAGTTGAAATAATAAACTTAAATTATGAGGGCAATAGTATTTCAATGGAAAGAGCTCCTTAACATATATTTGCAAACCAGACCACTTATATTGAGGCATTGCGTTTAGTTTCTGAGTAGTAGAGCACAGATATTATTCATTCTGTTCATGAGAATCCAGGTGGTGAGACACATAAAGGATTATTTAGTTTAATAGGGAGATGTCAGTGATAGCGTGAACTTTTAAATTCTTAAAAGAATTTAAAGTAAGACTCTACCAGAAGCATAAAATCAGACTGTTGCCTCGGTTCACAATTCAAACAAGAATGTTCTTCCTGTGTGTCGTTAAACTGAAGTGTCAGGGAAATAGGAATTTTATAGATAGCAGTAAAAACACATGTGCCTATAGCTTGTGTGAAAAGCTGATGCATTGATTAGGCTGAGAACTCTTAAAAAGCAAGAAAAAACCCAAAGCCAACTAAAAAACAAACCACCGCCCGCCCCACGCTTAATTTGAAAAATGATAGTATTCTATGACATTTTACAGTTGTACATAATTTATCTTTGGAGGTGATTGACTGGAATAATGAAGATACATATGTGATCCTTAAAAAGTTTTGCTAGAGTTGCATTATGTGCCTTATAGTGTTCTTGGGCCTTGGATTGACTTTTAATTGGCTCATCAGGAGTATCAGACTTAACTTTATATTTCAGGAACTTGTTTCTGCTTTTAAGGAGGAGACTTACAGTAACTACTGTCTTGCTTCTGAGTTATGTTGCAAACCTGTACATTTTGTAATAGTGGCAGAAACACTGCAGTTGAGATGGGGAGTGGGAGGAGGAGGCGTCCATGTGGGCATGAATTGTTTAGGATTTCTTGTCCATGTCATTCCCCCATTTCCCCCTGTAAGTTGTCTAATGTTGTTAAACTTGTTGCATAGCATAACAAGTCTTAATGTTTGCTGAAGAAAAGTATTTTCTTTTTTGTCACTGTATAATGCTTTCAGGATCACATGTGTCTTCTGTATAACATGGATGCTGTCCTTTTTAGGAATTCACAACATCTGGTTCATCGAACACAGACACTGGAAAAGTGAATGGGAGCTTGGAGACCAAATATAAGTGGGCTGAGTATGGGCTGACTTTTACAGAAAAATGGAACACAGATAACACTCTGGGAACAGAAATTGCAATTGAAGATCAGGTAATAGATTAGAGAGAGTATTCATTTGTTTTACTGAACTAGCAGAACTGAATTTATAGCTTTATTTTATTTTCTCCCCCCTTCAATTAGATTGCCAAAGGCTTGAAGTTGACATTTGATACAACTTTCTCACCAAATACAGGGTAAGAATTGTTAACGCTTTTACCTCAGTTAGGGCAGTGAGAACACCCATGTGGTAAATATTCATGTGGTCTGTTGTACTGACAGAGATGTTCATATGGTTTGCTATTGATCCACATTAACAAATCCCAGTGCTAAAGGCTTCTGCTTTTTAGCATCATATCTTATTCTATGGGATTAGTATTGGACATTTCACAACAGCTCACTTTGCTTATTTTCTGGGATAGAAATACTTGGAAGATTGTGGGAGGCATGAAAATACTTCTGTGTTTATCACAAAATGCCCGTTGCAGTAGCCCTGTGCTTTCTTGATGGGCTAACTGTACTTTGGCCCAGTCTAGAGAATGCATGTGCACGGAGTTCAGATACATTATGTGGAGTCATACAGCTGGAATTTGCCAGCTCATTGAGGAAGATCAAGCCTTGTCTTAAGATAACTGTTTCTCTGTTTCAGAAAGAAAAGTGGTAAAATTAAGTCAGCTTATAAACGTGAATGCCTAAACCTAGGTTGTGATGTTGACTTTGATTTTGCTGGACCTGCCATCCATGGCTCAGCTGTCTTTGGTTATGAAGGCTGGCTTGCTGGTTATCAGATGACTTTTGATAGTGCCAAATCAAAATTGACAAGAAATAACTTCTCTGTGGGTTACAAGACTGGGGACTTCCAACTGCACACTAATGTGTAAGTACTGAAAATTGTGTCCAGATTTACAGAAGCAGGCTTTCTCTACCTTTCCTTCTAGTCAGAATACAAATGCTTGAAATACCAAGAGGTGCTTGCAAAGCCATTAAGTGGAGTGCGTTTTTCAATAGGAAGCTCTAAATAAATGATAAATGTTATTTTGTATCTCTGTTCAAAACAGTAAATACCTGTGGCTTGTTAGCACCTATCAACTACTGAAGTACATCCAAGTGAGAAGTGCAATAGTTCAGTTACGCAGAGCTCATCATAATGCTTTTTCCAGCTTTCCCATTACACTGAATTATATATGACTATAAGGGCAGTAGATTTGTTAGAGCTAGCAATTTTCATCACACTGTTTAACTAGGCTCATAGTAGCTTCTGGAGGAAGACGAGCTTTGCTTTTGGCCTTTTTGAGTAGGTTCATCTTCTTACATGTCTGGGATGAGTGCGTGAAACACCTAGAGTGTAACTAAACAAGCGTAAGACATCTTGTTTATGAACTTTCTTCAGACTTGCAGCCTTTAGATCTTAAATATTCTTCAGAGCAAGCTGATCAAAACCTACTGAAGAACATGGTGTTTTCAATATAAGTTAATAAAAATTAGTGGTGTTCTAATGTGCTTAGCTAGGAAATAACTTGATTTTTGGGGTAGAAGTTTGTCCTTTTGGAGGGGGAGGATAGGGATTGTGCCTGTCAGGGTTTATCAAAGTTGAGGGGCATAGGGAGAAGTTACAAAACACTTAATAGTCTGGGCTGTAAGAATTCCATTTCAGTTTACTAATACCAAACATTGTGACAGATTTTTAAAAAGGTTGTCTAATTCTTTAGGAATAACATACATATTCAATAATCATAGAAATCAGAATGCCTGTTTCTAAACTATTAACATTTATCTATAGTTTCGTAAGGATGTGATCTGGCAATACATTCAGGTACTTAGTTAAATGTGAGCGTGAGAATTAGCTGTATCACTCTGAAATACCTTTTTTTTTTTTTCCACCTTGCATTATTGCAGTTTGTTGTTCTGAAGACTGTGTTCATCTTCCCTTCTGTTGAAAAATGTGAAACAACTCAAACTTTTGAGTTCTCATTTGAATAAAACTTCGAAGTAGATCCAAAAAACCACAACAGTTGGGGTCATCTAAATATAGGAAACTAACTTTTTTTTTAATTTGTGCAGCAATGATGGTTCAGAATTTGGTGGGTCAATTTACCAGAAAGTGAGTGACAATCTTGAAACTGCCGTAAACCTGGCTTGGACAGCAGGTAGCAACAGCACTCGCTTTGGCATTGCAGCTAAATACAAGTTGGATTCCACTGCTTCTATCTCTGTAAGTATGGCTCTAACCAAAAAGGTTATGCTAAGCACAGTGTATTTTCAATACAAAAGAAGGTAATACTACTTTAGGAAGTCTTGTAGGAAATACTCTGACAATCCAGGCAGTTATAATTAAACCAGCAGAATTTAAATTCTGTTATGTTGCATACGGCAATGTCTCTTAGAATCTGACTGTCAAATTTGTGCTACTCCAGAGGACTTAATGTATTTATTAAAAAAAAAAAAAAAAAAACAAAAAAAAACAAAACCCACAACAAAACAAACAACAACAACAACAACAAAACAAACAAACAAACAAAAAAACCACCTCATGTCTAGTTCTGTAAGTTTACTGAATTTTTTTAAAACCAGTTTTTGGGAGCTCTGTTATGTTCTCATGGTGAGAACTCTCGTGATACTGTTAACAAGGTGATATGCAGAAAAATTTTCTGTATGTTACAAAATTGGAATTGAACATGGATTGTTGGAATCAGCATATAGAGGAAGTGATGCCAAGCAAGATAAATAATTTTGCATATATCGTTTATTATGATACTATGAAATGTTTGCTGCTTGACTGATCGGACCTGCAAGATACTAATTCTTTTGTAACAGTATGAATATGGAGGATTCTTCTGAAGTGGCTTGTTTTGGGAGACGGGTAGACAGCTGTGGCTGCTTGAAAAGAGTGGGAAGTGGAGAAGTTCACCTGCCAAACTACATTCCAGTAACAGTTCTCCCTGTCCTTATATTTTGTCTGCTTTTAAATATGTTACTTCTTCAGCTGAAAGTTGGGGGTAAAGGCATAGCTAGGAAGAGAGAATCCAGTAAGCATAGAGATATTGAAAGAACCAGTAAAATTTGGTTAAGTTGATAATGGCAGCTTTGCCATAGTTATTCTAGTTTCTGAATGGTAACAACTAATCAGTTACATTAAAATTGCTTTTGTCTTGATTTTTGTTTCAGGCAAAAGTGAACAATTCTAGTCTAGTTGGAGTGGGTTACACCCAGACCCTGAGGCCAGGTAAGGGTTATCACCTGAATTAAGTCACATATGTATATTCTGTGCATCACAGAGGAAAGCTATGACATCTATGCATTTGTATGCAACTATTTACCTTCAGATTAATTTTGTCTTGAAGGCAAAGTAGATGTTTTACAGTAGCTTATGTTGCACATCACATCTGTATCTAGACAAGACAAAATCCATTGTATCTAATGCTACTTCTGCATCATATTCCTCACTGATTTGTGTAGGAGTGGACTGTATCGTGTTTTGTAGCTTAGCTTTAGGCTGAGCAAAGCAGGTTTTTTTTTAGCATTGCTTTCTTCAGTCACATCATATTGAATGATAGCAGGTCTTGAAATAATGATTAATAATCAAAAGAACACACTTTCTGCTCTCCACATTTAGTAAGAAAAACCTCCAGAACTTAACTTGCTCTGCTTAAATATGGAAAAGGCCTGTTAATGCTGTATTACCGTTGATTAGTTTCTTAATTGAAAACCAATAAAAATCGTAGTATCATTCCATCCCTTCCTTGGTACAAGTGTGTCTTACTATGCATAATTTTCTTTCTTTGCACACCTAATGTAGAGGAGGAGAGCTCTTGTGTAGTTACCAGTTAGAGACTTTGTATATTCACTTTATAACACAGTATTTACAAAAAGCGTCTAGCTTAATTCACCTCACTAGCTTTCAGTAGATTTCATGGGTAAATGGATTCTTCTGTAGAAATCTTCAGAGCAAAGTAGTGAAATGGAAAAAGAGCTACTGCATGAATGCTACTCTGATTGTATGTTGTAAACATGCTGTTTAAAAATCTTACAGGTGTGAAGCTTACACTGTCTGCTCTGATAGATGGAAAGAGCATCAATGCTGGTGGCCATAAACTTGGTCTTGGCCTGGAATTGGAGGCTTAAAAAGACGAAGAAACTGCTGCAGAGAAGGGATATCAGAAGAATTTGGCCTTAAAATGTATTTCCAATGTGACCAGCAGGCTTTTTTTCCCAAGAAGGATGACCTAGAACAAGAGCTGTATTTGAAGTATTTAGGCAGTTACTTGTTAGCTGGTTTCTAGTTAAATTGGTTACCCATCTAGTTAAAATTCTGCATTAGTGCAGTCACTTAAACATTATTTAAATGTATTTAACTGTTTAATGCGCTACCCACAAATAATGAAATAGACATTTATGAAAACTGTACAATTGTGTGCATGTTTGTTTTTATGTTCCTTTTAACATTTGATATTGCCATTTAATGAAAAATGGATCAGTGGATGTTTTGAAATGAGGTCAACAATTTTGTTAAATCACATGAAGTAGAAATACATTTGGTATCCCAAGACAAATTATGAATAAAACAAGTACACACACATACTTGTGCCTCAGATATTTTAAGAGTTAAGGTATGAGGGTAGTGCTCAATTAAATTTAAACTTTTAACTTGAAATAATCCAAGAAGTAGTGCTATATACCTTTGTGCAATTAAGGACACCCCCCCACCCCATTCCCCCATGACAACATTGAATATGGGTGGTTTTCACTGAGCAGCTGGATTCCTCAAGCAAGTTGAATGTGCTTTTCTGTCAGGTAAGATTTGTCATGACACAACGGTTTAATTCCTCCTGTGTTCTGTTCTGTGGGCAAGATTTACTGCATTACTAGTTGGCCTCCTGATGCAAAGAGTGCAGAATGATGTACTTGGCACACTGAGACATTTAAGAACTGCTCCTTGATGCTTTTGCCCAAGGGGTGAAAAACTTCACCACACAAACACACTGTTTGCTTATATTTGTATCTCTGCAACTGGATGTAACAGTGTAATGGAAAAACAGGCTGCTTTTATCCCAACTGCTGTGAGAGGTTTCTGCTTACAATGACCGAAATAAAGGCTTAATTTTAAATGGAGGTGGAGGAAAATGCATCCGATTTTGCTTTCCCTTTGACTAATCTTGGCAGATACCCATTTAAGTCCAGAAACACAGAATAATGGAAAAACTCCATATTTTTCTAGGACAGAATTAAGGGAGAATTAAAGTATGAGGGATAGTTGGTCTGTGAACATCCCTTAAGGTCAAACATAACTAGCTGTGACTGCTCTTAGTGTGGAATATATTAAATACATGTAGTTAATAGCGCTTACATTTAAGAATGGGGATTTATTGAGTTCAGGGGGGTGCCTGGAGCCTACTCCTTAAAGTCTCTCACAGCTGAGAAGGATAACTTGATCCCTAGTTGCGCAGTCTGTGGTTCACAGCAGCCTGCTTTATTGAGCAGGTGGCCAGTTTATGATCAGGAAGCTGTATCTCTGGTTTGCAAGCTGTGTTTGGTTCATGCTGGATTAGATTTAACCCCCATAAAAGTCCTAGTGATTTGCTCGAGGTCTTGTTCCATCCTGCATTGTTGCCCTCATACTCAAATTCTCAAGTACTGTTGTAAACTGCCTGAGGCTTTAGCAGTGGAATAGCTGAGCCACTTTCTTTGCAGAAGATGGAAAAGGGCTTAAGCTTCCAGCTCAGGCTGTTGAGCAGGCTTGCTAGTGTATTTGACCAGTTTTGTTACATGACAAGGAGAAGGCTTGGCAGCATTTGTGCTTTGGAGTACCTTTACTGCTGTTGTCACTAAATGCCCTTTTCTGAGGAGCACTTCCACCACTTATGATGGAAGCAGCACGTAAGCCACAATTTGTGGCTCTTATTGCATGTTAACATTCGTAAACTGTATTTTTAGTTTGAAGTGTTCTTATGTTCTAGACCACTTAAAGCTAGAAACGGTGCAGCCAGACATTTGAACTTTAGTATGGTTTCTTTTTAGTATAACTAAATGTGTCTAGTTTCTTCTGAAAAAAAAATAAAAAATGCTGTGTGTCTGTATGCATTGACCAGCTGTAGCACCTGGACAAACAAAGGTCTCTTGCTTATGAACGATGCCTTGTTTGCATCCTTAAACCAGAGTAGCAGCAACACTGGGTTTCTCATTTTTTTGGAAGCTTTTGATAGGGCTATAGTGGTCTGACACACTTTTTTTTTTTTCCCCTCGGTGGTATTTTGTATTTTTTTTTTCTTTTTAGAAACAACTATTCCGACCCCTTTCTTCACTGTTTGCTCACCTCTAGCTCTTTTTCCTGAGGGCACAAAATGGGCAAGTGAAATACATGCAGATATGGCAGAGTTTTTCTCCCACTCTTCATACAAATTAGTAATGGAAAGTTTGAACCTATTCATTTTACTCTGTTTTCATGTGCATCACTTTACTAGTCTTCAGCCTTTAAACCTTAAGTAGTTTCATTTGTTGTAATGCTGATGGGTAACTGGAGAAATAAAAGGGCTCTGCAGTAGTTAAGACAACTGTGAAAATGTGAGTTTTCCTAAAATACCAGAAATCACTAGTTTGAGCATAAAAAGGAAGTTCAGTGTCTACTGACATCTCAAATGAGGCTTATAAAAATGGCTTTCAAACTTTCTTTTCAACTGTGTTACAGAAGCTGGTGGTGTATTCGGAGTTTTGTGGTAAGGAATGTTGGTAGTTTAAATAGCTCCATTTTGTTAGAACGTGTAAAAAGCCTTAATGATAACTTTCAGTGCTAGCTAGCCTTTCCTCAGGTGTCATTCTGAATAAAATAAAAACACTTGAGATAACCAATGACCTGAGCCTGACTGTGCATCTTGTCTGTGTGAACTGTAGCATTGCATTCCTGCCTGGTACAGCTGGAGTAGGGGTTGTCTGTGTGCATATTTCAAGGAGACGTATTCATGCTGTCATAAATAAAAAGTCCTTTCACATGAGATTATGATGCCCTGAATTTTTAAAGTTTTACTGACTTGAACATTTGTGTTCTTGCTGGGCTGTAGAAATTCTCCATGTTGTTTCAGTTAACCTTGCGCTCTTCACGTGCTTGAGCTTGGTGTGGTAGATTCTTAAATCTGCCTCGTGTACACTGCAGTCATTCAAAACAATGAAATTTGCTTGGAACTATTTCAGAATGGGCATGGAAACCTTTCACCCCCAAGCACTGGGGCACAGGTTTTTACCTTTCCCTTGGCTCTTGCTGGGATAAACCCAGGTAGTAATAGAGTGTGCTTACCTACTCTCTGGCATCTCCTGTTCTGGTATGTGGCTTATTACTGCAGTAGTCTTATCTACTGGGCACAAAGATACATTTAAATCTACGGTGGCTGCACTTCTATAAAAGTAGAACCAAGCAAATAGAAGTCAGCCCATGCATGGATGATTCAGCCCTGCTTGTGTCAAAGATCCTTGTTTCCTTATCAGTCAGCCAAGAAAGAAGCAACTCTATGCAAAGTAAGCCACTAATGATGACAAGTACTGGGCACCAGTGTCTTAATGGCAGGTACAAATGCTTTCTTCGAACTGGTGGAAAGGAAAACTCAAAGATGGTTGGCTTGTTAAGTGGCATGAAAGGGCTATGCTTGTTGCAAGTGGTTTTATCGTGCTTGTCAGTGGAGTATTTCTGTTCTTGATCTGGAATAGGAATTAAAACACATATCAATTATTTTAGTGACGTTTCCCTTCTCATGATTGTTCCTGGGCCTGCCTTTTAGTTGCCTGTTGTGTCCCATCTTTCCATGTGCTGCTGGGTGAAATGGAAAGCAATAAACAATTTTTGTGAGCCTAATGTACAGCATCTTCTACTTTAGCCATGACTTTGACACCGATGCTCATGTACAAGGAGGCAAACTTCCTTTTGCACAGCAATTTCTGAAAAATAATGCACAATTAAAACTTATGAAAATGCTACTAGACAAAATGTGTGGTGTTAGGCACAGATTTGGTTTGTATCTACACTCGTTTATCTAGTGGTGTTGAGAAAAGTGCTGGCAGAGCTTTCAAGATGGCAAGCAGTCAGACTGTTTCAGCTCCAAACATTTGACCTTTACTACAGCATGTGTTTTTAAATGAGAATTTTCTGCTGAAACCAACACCATGGCAATACTTACAGTACACTTACTGCTGGTTAACAGTAGCGTACAGATTGGAAATCTTTCAAGGGTTTGTGGGTGGTTTTGTGGGATGTTCTTTGTCCTGGATCTGTGGGGGAAGATCCTAATGCTACAATAATGACTCTTGGAAGATCCTAATGCTACAGTAATGTCGCTCTTTACTGGTTTTGCAATGTTAGCAACTCGGAACCTTTTTTGTTTACTTTGCCTGTGCTCCCATGAGCATTAAAATACTAAATGGCTATTGCAAAAACCTCACTGATCTTACATGGTGAGCTTCATGGAGTAGGTGTGGGTGTGCTGGGCCGAGCCCAGGCCTGAGAGCTGAGGCAGCAGCCCACAAGGAACCAGCGAGATTTGTCCTGGGCTGTTTTATTGATCCGTGGGGGCATTACTAAAATCACACCTTAACCGAGTATGAGACATGCATAACTTCTTTACTTAAGAAAGGGCAAGTTTTGCTAGGCTGTGTGTAGGGCTCGGCTGCCGCGCGGGGAGGGGCATTTTTCTCCGCATCGCTGTGCCTTTTCCCCCTGCAGCTGCTGCAGGAGCATTACCGCAGCCTCCTCCTGGCCGTGCCCCAGCCGCGCCGGGGGCTGGCAGCGCGCCGGGGATCGGGCCCACAGGCCGGGCCCCGCCCCGCGCCACCGGCCGCGGGCCGACGGCGCCATCTGGCGGCCGCCGGTGGCCTCTCCGGGGAGCCCCCCGCCACCAGCGCGGCGCGAGCGGCCGCCCGGGCCGTTGGGAGGCGGCGACGGCGGGAAAATAATAGTTGCGGTAAGCCTACGCCTGGTTCTGAGGCGAAGAGCTAGAATTAGAGGAGGGAAACCCCTGCGTGCGCTGGCACGCGGGTGTCCTCCCCGCCCTGAGTCTGAGAGCGCCAGGCGGCCCCCGTCGGCTTCTGAAGGAGCGGCTGGTCCTGTTCTCTACGCTGGCCTGCCGGCAGCTCGCTCCTGGGTGCACCCCCTCTCCTATCTAGGCAAAATTAATTAACAAAGCAGATCATCTTCCCGGCTGCTGCTCTGCTCCTGACTTGATGACACTTTCCTAGAAACCTCCCAATGGCTTGAGATCCCTTGATTTCCAGAGGTGTTCTGGCTGTCCTTGGCTTGGAGAAGCACTTGCTGAGAGGAGGACAGGGTGCACTAGCTGCCAAAATCAGAAAGCAAAGGAGAAAGTTGCAAAATGTTGCCTGACTCGTGATCTTCCCGTGTCTGGTGGCTCCAGGCACCGTGGTGGAGCTGGACTGACCCTGTGGTGGCCATGTGGCATGCTAGCAGTGGGACAGTGCCACAGTGTAGGTAGGTCACAAACGCTTCCCCCATCTTTGCAATTAATTTAAGTTCCAGTAAAACAACTGGTGCATGGGGACAGGGGAGAGAGCCCAGCAAGTTGGGTCAGGGCCTGTCCCGTGGGGATGCTGTGGTGGAGCACCTCCGTGGGGCAGCACTCTCCCACCAGAAGCAGTCACAGCAGGGTCAGCACTGCTATGAGGAGCAACTGTACCACCATCCCCTTCACAGAGAGGGTCTGTTAAAAAGCTGTTGTGCAAGGTATGTCAGTTGAGGGTGGGGAGTGGAGACAACTTTAATCTGGACTGTTTTGTTCATCAATGTATAAAATTTGTCTTTCCTAGACAAAATCAGAAGGCTAGTATGTCTATGGTGCTGGGCAGTCAGCCATGAGGCTGACACTGCTGCCCCAGGCTCCCTACTGCTTGCTCCTGGCGGGTGCCTTACCTTGTCCTGCTCCCCTCTTTGGGGACCCTTGCTGGTCTTTGGGGCCTCATTTCCCTGCCCAAGCAGAGCATGCAAACACCTCTTTGCCAGGTGTGTTGAGCCTCTCAGGTGCTGGGGGGGTGGGTACACTCCCAACTGCCCTGGTGCAGGAGGCTGAGGCTGAGCTAAGGCCAAATTTAGAGTTATAGTGAATTTTTTCCTTGCTACCTTGTCGAGTGGATTGAGTGGGTTACAATTGATCATGAGAGTCACCTGGTATCATTGTGACTTCTCTAATTAGCAGCATGTGCTTTGGGGAGCAGGGCAGGCAGTGTTTCTGCTTTCCCTTGTTGGTGCTCAATGTGTGTCCTTTAGCCTGGACAAAAGCCCACTCATAGCAGAGGAGGGTGTAGCGGCATTTACTGTAGGGTTTGGTTGCAAGCTGCTTGCTGTCATACCTGACAATTTCATCAGTTGGGCTGGACGGGACCAGATCTGACAGATATCTCCATGGATGTGGCAAGTGGAGGTGGTGGCCTTCTATACTGCCAGCTGCAGTCTTTGCTGGCAGAGATGGCACCAGGTGAGTGTGAACAGGCATCTCTGATGTTTCAGGAATCAATATTTTATGAATGTTTTAAAGTAAACTGCAATTCACAGATACTTCTTCAGGGTACTGTAATTTAGTGTAAATGCAGGCTTGTATTGCAGCCTCTGTAACAGAATGCTGATCTCCTTCCACTGTGTTTGAGGAAATATTTTATTCTTGCTTTACTTCTTTCAAGTTCCTTGGGAAATCTGGTACAGCATTCAGTCCTGGTGCAAGACTAGTAGGCTTTCAGGTGAGACCTAAAGCTTTGTATCAATGGCCCTCTCTGCATTTAGGTCCTCTCATGCATTCAGCATGCTATTGAAATTGTTTACAGCCCACTCACATAGCCTGAAGCTCATTTGCTTTAACTTCATCATGCCCACCATAAGGTGAGCTCAAGAGTGTGCGTAAATGTTGGAGTCTTGGTAGGTCTCCCTGTCAATCCAGCACAACCCAACTAGGCCACATTCTGCTTCAGAATTTCTCCCTCTTGTGGGCTGTTTAAAGTCTGGCCCAGAGTCCTATTTCCTACCATTTCCTTTTCTTTTCTGGGAAGCTGTAGCAGAGAGGTATACCATGCAGTCCCACCACAGTCATTCGCAGCAGCCTCTCCCGGAGGCACAGATCCTCTTAACTCACAGGATGCCCACATCCTGAGAGGAGTGCCAGGGAGTTAGGTAGTTGCTCTTGGTTCCCTCTGTGTTTAGCAAAGCATCACTCACTACCAGGCACAGAGAGCGGTGCTCTGCAGGGAAGCACGACCCCACTGCTTTGTAAGGTTTTTGTGTTAGGCTGATCCAGTTTCTTCTTCCTAAAATGAGATCATGCTCATATTTCTGTCTGGGATTTCTTAAATTAAAAATATGATGTGTCACTGTAGGACATGCGCTTAGTGTGGTGGGGCTGGGGCACACGAGGTCCCTGCATGCTGGCTGCACTGCAGAGTGTGGCTGTGCTGGCATTTGGTGCCAGTGGGAACGTGCCCACCTTGGCCACGTGAGCTGAGCTGCCTGCACAGCAGCACATGGGTACCTGAGGGGCAGGGTTTTGGGCACAAAGACTTCAGCCTGGTTATCAGCAAGGGAGAGAAGGAGAGAGAGTGGAGAAGCATCCAAAAGGTAAACTTTCCAGGAAAAGAAAGGCTTTAATTTTTTTTTTCTTCACAGGATAACCTTCCTGTTGCATAGGAAAACCCATTCTTACCTTGTCTTTGCTTTTCTTCTCTTCTTCTCAATAGCCTTTCATCCCTTGGAGGAAAAGTACAGGTAGTTAGCTGAAGTGATTTGGTGGTGTTGTAGCTGTTACACTCCAATTTTCTTTTATGGAGATGAAGATAAACACAAAGCAGAAAGAAAACATAATTAAACGCAG